CCCTAACACACGTCAAATCAGCTAAATGGGGTAAGATGTCTAATTCCAGATATTCAAAAAGAACGTTAAGTGAGTATTCGACGTAAAAGTACTGATTTTACGACAACAATGAAACCTTTTTCCCCTTTCTCTATTTAATTATACTGAAAAAAAAATCGTCACAGTGTCAATAGTTTGAAACTGCTGTGGACTAGTGCCTTTTTTTCTTACCTGGTAGTTTTGTTTTCTTGTTTTAACCCAGAGGTGTTGAAAAAATAGCGATTGCATTTTAAACTGAGATAGACAAAAGTCAGCTTCGCTCCAGAGGAATAAGCGATGAAAATGCCAAGACAAGTGTGTATCAAGCATTTTATACACGATCCTATCTAAATAAATGTCCTCTTAATAATAAATATTTCTTGGAAATTGACACGCCCCCTTGATAACAAGGAAGACGCCGCTGAAACAGCAAGCACTCAACAGTTTTTTTACGTCACGTTTTTTGACGCCACGATACATTTTTGTGAATGTCATAACAGTGTCCACACTTTTGATGCCTTTTTTTATCTTCCAATGAGACATGAGACTCTCTTGGTAAACAATAACATGGCTCTTTCTTGTGGTTTGCGATGAATTTTTTAGACATCAAATAAACATTTACTAGTAATGGAGAAATCATTTACTAATGAAGAAATAGCAGCAGATCCGTATAAATGTCTCCCTTGGATACTCCCTTTGTTGGACTGTACCGGGGAGGAATCGCCTCTGCGGGTACACATTGTACCTTTTTCAGAAGATATCTGTATTAAAGCGTTTAGATTTCACGCGCTGAGGTATAGATAAGGACAATGAAAATTGCCGTTTCGGTTTTAAAAAGGGGTCTCATTAGAGGTAGGTATCTCAAAGATTAGAGACGCAGCTTTATGAAAGGGATACCTTTTTGGTTAAAAGAGCCTTAAAAAGGATAAGTTTGTGGACCAAGGGGCGGAGCATCCCCGTACTACAAACCAAACCCGACAATAACTTGACCAACTTTGCTTGAAACACCTTCCTTAAATTGTTCTGAATTTGTTTCTAGTATATTTTGGCTAAACTCGGCTATTTCGGTGCTTCTTATTGGTTTTGCTTCAACTCAATCAGAAGCACAACCAGTTCTTGGTAGCGACACGTCATCAGTGTCGTCGTCAGTGCCGCTGGTTCGCCGGGCTGTTTTTTAGGGTAACTCCATTGCACGACAAATAAAAAGAATGATTATGGCTCTACGCCCCCGCTAAAGTTGGAGTAATTTATCATGAGGTGTTTCATTTTCAACAACATGAACATAACTCTCGGTCTCGTGCTTACAAGGTATTTAAGGAAGTTTAAGCACCGTAGGACAAAACTGTCAATCAAATCTGTTCATTCTACAGATGATTTTTTGCGCCAAGAAAATTTGTTTCCCGAATTTTCTTCTTAGGGCTAAGGAATTCCATGTATGTGTTCAGCAGCGACTTTTTGCGATTCTTTTGAGGTTTACAATCTCATATTCCCCTCCAACCGTTATAAGAATGATAAATTATCATACACCATACCCAAAGATACGGAAATTTTGGCACTGTTATTATAGTACACAATTTATTATTTCTTTGCGAGTGATCCTAAGCCCTATAAAAACACTGCGTTGATATCAGTCATTTTTAACACTTTGTTGGAGCCAGCTCACCGACCAGAAGACGGTTTCATTGTTAAATCTCTGTTTATTTCAAGTTTACAGATAAATCCTTGAATGGCGCATATAATTTCAAAAACAGCTAAAGACAATGAGGAAGTAGGAGTTTTTCAAGTTAAAACCATTCCAATTCTGGTCGTCCATTGTATTTCGTTACCTCGCATTGTTTAAAATTATTTTTCTTCTTGTTAGAAGAACAAACTTGATAGCGATATATTTTTGGATAATTGTTTCCATTTTATCCTCTAAGAGCGTCAACCGCAAATTAACGCCCTTGCGGTTCTAACAAGATTGCAGATAATTCATTTCAGCCCTTATTTTTCCTAGTAACAGAAATTCCGCATGCCATGTTATTTCTTATTTAGGGCTTTAAACTTGGTGTTTCCCAACGATAACAACATCAATGTTGAAGATCTAGTTCTTTGTAACTTTAAAATGAACGCCCTAGACTGTCCAAAAGACTACATATTACTGCGGTAATATTAAAAGTTAAAATGATTTCATGGACGTGATCTCCTTTTGTATCATTCCAGGAAAAACAGGCAGCAGCACTTTACACATACTTGTTCAATATGCATGGGTAATCAAATGGTGACGAGTGAAATTAGGGAATAATTTCACTTGCGTTTTGTCCAAATCCTAATAATTTCCTGAGCCTTCAGGCGAGGGAAATTATTAGGATTTGGACAAAACGCAAGTGAAATTTTTCCCTAATTACAAGGAACACGCAACGAAAGGAAATTACTGCTAAATCAGAGTTTTTATTCCAACGGTTACATTTAAGCGTTTTATGTACACTATTGACTGACTGATCATTTTCACTGAGTGCATTTGATAATGTCGAAGCTCAAGGCGAATCTAACCTCATTACCATACGCTTCTCGTTTTCAAATCAAGTTAAAAAGAAAATGTAATTTCTGAATATTGAAGGGAAATAGGACAACTACCCTTCTCCGAAAATTTCAGTCTGAAATGCCAAATACGTATTGGACTATATGGTGTTAAAAACTTGACATTTTACGAGGAATGTATGGGCTCATCGACCCTTTTGCCAGCCACAAATTTTGCTTTTTATGATGGCTGATATTTCCTAAAGTATTATATGCGAACAGTTAAAAAGTGAAAGAGTTACTAACTTTAGAAAGCTCTTTCAGTTATTGAAGTTTACGTTTGTAACATTTAACATGATACATTTTCTGTAAAATTCTTATGCCAATTCAGCAAAATTATGTAAACAATAGCGTTTACAAGATCCGCCATTGAGGCCTCATTCAAGGGCGGGACCGTCCTTCTCAGCATGTTGAGGTACACTTTCGCTTGGTTTCTTAAAAGGAACGAAGCGAAGGTTTAAAAACCTCTTTGTCACTCATGTAAGGATTCAGAACCAGTTGTACCACGACTGGTTATAAGGAAAGGCTAAGAAGCGGTAACACTTTCCTAAAGCGGAACTACATCACTGGAGGGTACCGAGTAAAGCCTCTCAGTCCTAATAGAGGACAAACAAAAATAATCCATTTTACATTTACATTTACCATATTACAAGCATTCCTTCTCTACAAGGCTTATATGCTCGGATTTTCCAAAAGAAAAATTGAGATTGAGTTTTGTAAAATCCTGAGAAATATATGGTTCTTAGAAATAAATACTACAGTTGCACAGTTCATTTCATTCCCCCCATCCCCATTATTTTTGAAGACACCCTCTCCGGAGCTCGTGAGGTTCTGCGATACACGTATTTCTAGCGCCATGTGAAAATACTGCTGAAGAGGTTTCATTTGAATGGTAACATCATAGGATTTGTTTCACAGATTTAAAAATTACAGTGACAAATAATCTCGCCATGACATGGTCTGGTAGCGAAAGGTTTTTTAATAGAAAAGATAGATAATTAATTGAAACGGAAAGTATTTCTTAGAAAGTGGTTCTTCGGACGTGACCCCAGCTCTAGTAAACAAGGAAGTAACTTATACTTTCTTTTGGTAGAAACGAATAACTTCACGTAATAGTCACGATTTAAAATTAGCACAACCACAGGTATCAGGCAAAACAACACGAGTACGAATTCTCGGAATTTACTTTCGTGACTGCGTTCCTTTATTCGCATTTTACGTTTCTGGGAAACTGCCCACCTACCCCTCCCCTAAGCCAACATTTTGCCCTAAGTAAGAACCAAGTGTTAATGTTGGTTTAGGGGAGGGGTAGGTCAGCAGTTTGCCGTATTGTTGCCAACTGACTATGTGTTCCTCACGCCTACAGTTGGGTAAACCGCAGTTCAGGATCCGAGGGGAGTCATAGGTGTTCGGTGTCTCCAAACAAAATAAACACATCGAAAAATAATCTCCAAATTATCGGAAGGAAACCTCAAAGGATTAACTTGTTAAAATAGAAAAACCAAACTCCAAGCAGTCAAATGTTAGTAAACGTTTGTTTTCTAACTGAAAGAAACACTCTAATGGGGAATTATTTTAGTATCTGAAGATTAAGTTTATTTTTCAACGATCCATGGTTAACATGCCACCCATTATAAATCACTGCGTATAAATAAAGTTGTTAACAACAAATTGTTTTTTTCGTACGTGATGTCCCTATGCATCATTCCACCGCAGAAATTCATTCCTTTACAGTTTCTCATGCAAATGGTAAAATGCGAGGGTCTGCTGGCTAAACAAACTCTATTTAATTCCAACCAAAAAGTTCCAAAATCAGATACGCACATGTAGTACTCCTGACAATAAAAGCCATTATTAATAAAAACACCAACGAAATACCAGGTGATTTTTAGCTGCGCTCACTCGTGAAATATGGTTCAACACTCGTAGAGAAGTTCTGTATCAATGCGCGGCCGTGTTATATCCTATACATAAAATAGTTGACTTGTGAAACAGTTAAGAGGACCTAGTTTTAAAACATACACTGAAGAGCTCTGAAGGGCTATTCAACTGAAATGTTTAATTCAATATACACACCAAATTACATTTACAACTACTCTATAAAAATAAATATATAAATAATAAAATGAATAAAAATAAATAAACTAAATGATTATTGAGTTATTTTACTACTTTGCTATTAAACTAAGTCAAAAGGATGAGGAGCTTGTGAGTGTAGGTAGTCGAATAGAATGCTTTATAAAGGATTAGGATAGAAAGAACCCCAGGAGGAACTGCAGAATCTCCACTTTCAAGTTTAAGCATTCTACTGACGTCCCCCCTATCAGGGTCAATTTAGGTTTCTAAGAAACTACCCACCTACTCCTCCCCTAAACCAACATTAACACTTACTTTTCACTAAGGGCAAAATGTTGGCTTAGGGAAGGGGTAGGTGGGTAGTTTCCCAGAAACCTAATTGCTGACGGTGACTGCGATGATGCCCAACATGATCAGAAATCGAGATTTCGCTACTACTTTTAAAAAATGGTTCTGTAACATGGTTTTCAAACGAAAGGAAGTCATAATTGGAACTGGAAAGTTACGTATTGGTGAAGGGTTCGTTCAGTTTAATTTTTCTTGCATGCTGGATTTCCTTCCAGACACGTCTACTTCCACAGACTTGAGCGCACGGTGAATCTCGGGACATGCCATGTGCACATTATGGGCAGCGGCATTCATTAACGGATGGAGCAATTCATTGATCTCTTGCAGAATGAACGGTGTCTATAAATGTATAGAATTGGTAATCAGAGACTAGTTCATTAGAATTGCTTAAGTAGAATCACGAACGTAGCTCAAGAAAAGCGTTATACCTTTGAGGAAATACTCAATGTTAAGCTGCGCGAGACGGGGTCTGTTGAAGTCACTAGACGAAGCTTGCCTGCAAAATACAAAGGCCGGGGGAAATAACTACAGAATAATGACGCGATTAAGAGGAAGAGGTCAAACCAATCAAACCAGTGATCGAACGATTTACTGAGTGGCTGACTGCCATCTGGGTGAGCTCTACAACTAATCTGATCTTGCCTGCGGCTGACAACATGAAATTGTCTTTTTTCGTCGGGTACAGGGCATGCGTTGTATGACATACGACATCATATTCGAAAGCTTTCGTTTTCGTCCGTCTGATAAGCTTATGTTTTAAAACAATTCCGCTTGCGTATGGACGGAAGGCTAAAACGGAGAAAAAAAATCTCCGTTTTCAAAAACAAGTTCAGTTGAGAGAACCAAACTTTTGTGACTAACCAATAGCTGATCTTAGGGAAGAAATGGCGTACTAACAAGGCGACTGACTTAATTAAAGCAAAAATGACCAGAAATAGCAACGGACAAAATGATGGACTAGCTGAAGGACTAGAGAGCAAATAGAACAACGGACACAAGTTCCAGTCGTATCCCCTTGCTTTCCATCGGAAAACCGGAATTCTAGTGGTGTAAAGTCCCTAAGTCCTACCAAGTGTATTGGATGCATTGGACACGAATAGATTCCGATGGAAAAGTTCATTTTCTACTCGTGAGAGACTTAGAAAAATTCCGCTCATGTTGGATGGGGGGTAGAAAGTCGTTCCGATAAAGTCTATCGGATCCATTGGACACGAATAGATTCCGATGGAAAAGTTCATTTTTCTATTCGTATCCATGTAATGTCAGTTTCAATGTTATGCCTACCGCCTACCAGTATGTTTCTTTTAATAATTCTACTCAAGTGTAGCTCATATTATAGATACCATTAAAGAACGAAGCATATACTTGTGTACTGTCCTCGTTTCGCAGGGCTTTTGCCCCGTTTCATAGCTTTACCGTGCTTGTTTTGACTCGTGGCTTTAAACGTGCCAGTCCGTCTCGAATAAAGGGCCCGGGGGACTTAGGCTTTAAAGAACGAGTTATGTTACGTGGGTACCGTGCTTGTTTCGACTCGTGGCTTTAAGAACGCGTTATGCCATTCGCGTAGCGTGCTCGTTTCGGCTCATTGCTTTAAGAACAAGTTATATTTTTTGTGTAGCGTGCTTCTTTTGACTCATCGCTTTACGAACGACTTATGTGTACCGACGTCCGTGCTTGTTTCGACTCATGGCTTTAAGAACGAGTTCTGTCTCCTGTTAGGCTTGCCATTCTCGACTTAGGGCTTAAAGAACGAGTTATGTTACACGTGCAGTGTGCTTGTTTTGACTCATGCCACGACTAGACTTCCTGAGATTCCATCGGAATCGATGTGTTTCCAATGGATCCGATGGACTCCATCGGACGACTTTCCAACCCTCCTCTAAGTATTGTTTACACTTCCGGTTTCATCTCATGACTAAACTTCCGGTAACACAAGTGGACTCTACCGAACTTCCGGTTTCATTTTTCGACTAGACTCCGTCGGACTCCAGGTTTTGTCCACTGGAATCTGCTCGAGAGTATTGGACATGTGTGGTTTAACAAACAAGGGGGAGTTTGTGGAGCTCCGCTTGGAAAGAGCACACCCAAAAAAGCAAACATTCTTATAAGTCTCTACCTTATCAAGGTGACAGTTTTCAAGAGACTTAAATCACAATCCAACATGCCAAAGTTAGGAACAAGCAAGTACGCTAACCTTTACGCTGCAAAATGCTGAATGAAAACAACAATATATAACAACAACAAACACCACCACAACCACCACAACAACATATAAAAAACGTCTGCCCGTTGGAAATCGAAGGGAAAAAGGTTTAAATGTCTTCACTTGATATTTACCAAAAGAAGTAAAAATAAGAATTATACTGGAAGAAAACTTATTCTAATATTACCTCGTAAACGCAACAATAGCGCGCTGGGTGCTAGGGATGTCCCGCGGTTTAGAACCCGTTCTATTTTATCCGTATATGCAGCCACCATAGTACTCAGAACAGAGGCATCAAGAAGAGACTGTTGAATCAAAGATATAAAAGGGAGTGACTACAGTCAGACGTCATAACATGTACCGGTACTGGCACAATGTTGATAAGGCACGACACCTTGCGGTAAAAATAACTCTCTTGGAAACCAGGTGTGTCGTTAATTGAGTGTGGAGTGTCAAATCTTAAAAACACTGACCAAGCATATAAACAAGCTTGTTCCGTACTCCAATATCGTGACAACGGATGCAAAAAATGACCGTTTGCCTTGTTTTCGCGATGTCACTACTCTGTGAAAGCCTGGCAGAGGCTGTATATAAACGGGACATGTCTTACCAATAATTTGATAGGACTTTTCACAGCTTCTCTATCTTCTAACCGAAAACTGGTAGGATCGATATAAAAAGCAAGCAAGAAGCGGCAGAAGTTGCAGCTAGGAAGCGGGTTACATCTTTACTCCTTATTGATGTACAGCAACATAATGTTGACTACACTGCCTGGGACTACACCTCCCCTAGTCTTAACCCTTTAAACCCTAAGATCAAAATTTTAATTCTCTTTTGTTGCCCCTATTGACTTCCTACAGAAGTAGTGGGGAGAAGTTGATAAATATCAAGCAAATTCATCTTGTGTGATCATGTCCGCAATTCTCAAGACCACTCTGTTTTACAAAGCATTGCTATTACAACAAGAAATTTGACCCTGATCACTCTTAGGGCTTACACGAGGGTTAATAAACAACGGTCTGATTTCTTTACCTCCCATAATAGACAGTTTAATGAAACTGTTGTGAGACGGGGCCTAGGAATTTTCGACCTTATCCGAGAAAAGTAGAATATCTAACAAAGAATTGCCACACTGCAAGTTAAATCAGTCGTACCGTTCTATCGTCATCCTCTAACACAGGTCTGAAGCTTCTGCTGAGTTCTTCATTGACTAAATTCTGAAGTGTCTTGTTCAGAGTAGTCAGATACTCCAGCTCAAATGCCACGCTATTTAACATGTACCAGACATCCACAAGATAGGACTGGTGCTGTCAAACAAACGGAAAAAGTAATTAAACTATGACGGTTCAGGGACCTGAAAAAGGTTGTTAAAAAGGAGGGAGTGGGTAATTTTCAATATAGCTCGGGGGGTGACTCCCATATGAATGCCACGGGGATGTTCTTCAGAAAATTAGAATCGAAACCCTTTAGGGAGACAATCTGGGAGTGGCTCAAGCTGTAAAAGACACCCCAAGAAGACTGTACTAAAAAAAAAACAACCAAATAATGTGTACACCCGCCTCTTCCCCTCAATAAAAATCGGGGAGAGAGACATCTGAGCACTCTCCGCGATTTTGTTTGAGAGGAATAGGGGGACTGTGCACAGGCTATCTTTTCATTGTGCTATAGATGTCGACATCAAACTTTATACTGAAAAACAGTATCACGGCACTTGGTTTGTTTTATATAAATAATTCTTTGCGCACAATCCTAAGCGATACCCGTACAGGTATAAAAACTATTGGCTTTTTCTGTCCTCAACACCCTAATTGAGACCAAAATCTGCAATTTCCACCCCTAAACAAGCACCCAGCCAGCAGAGCTTGTTTTCGCTTGCACCATTTTGACGCACTCGAGAAAGGACTGCTTGAGTGGAGAAAGATCTTTGTTGAACATGCGCTACATTTGATATACGGTTTCAAACCCTTGGTACGTGGGCTCAGTTATGACCATCGGTTTGCCAATCTGACGGATTCTCGCACTCGCAAATCAGTTTGATGAAAGAAAACTGATTGACTCATCCAGAAGTTCGGGCTGCGGTGATTTCAAATGCTTGACGCGGTTTAGCCAATTAGAACCAATTAATTGTGCCTTGTTATACATTCACCGACTTCAAGTTATGATTGGGTTATTAGCAGATTTGTCGGTGTTCCGATTAACTAGAGCGACTACTTTGGCTATTGGTTTTACGACACTCAATTGGTCATCTGACAGTAGGACATCTACCTGACTGATGAGCGACTTGACCAAAAGCCATCTGTAAACAGAAAGCAGGCTCTCTTCTTCCTTAGCGCGCTCGATGTAGTGATCCACGTGAACTGAACTAAGCGCCAGATTCTCCCCCTTGCAGGGATCCGTGTCGTCCTGGGGCCCACAGAAACTGGTGTACAGTAAAGACTGCAACAATAATTTTTACATCCATGAAAACAACGTCTTCATCTATTTTCTTTAACGGAAACTGCTATCTAATTAGTAACAGTTTAAGCTACCTGCCAAGTGTGACTGGTTTCTGCGTTGTGTCGGTTAACCAGGGAGTCAAGCAAACACCCTTTTAAGCGAAGTACGTCAGCCGGAAGAAGACATTTTGCATTAGTATATACACACTCAGTGATCTTGGTGATTTAAGCAATCTGATTGGTTCGCTATCTCGGACTATTCAACAATATTCACCTCCTAGCGAGTGGATAATGTGTGAGCTCGGTGTTTTTCCCGTTTTTTTTAGAGAACGATCTTTTAAAAGTCGACAAAATCCTAGGGCTGACTTTTTTTAAGGCAAGAAAAGACTTGGAAGGATTCAATACGGCGTTTTTCAATTTACTGTAGCAGGAGTTTTGTGCTCGATGGATTGTTTACAACTCCCGTGTATTCGCGTAGAAGAAGCCGTTTCGTGAACTCAGCGTTTTCTAAGAAGAAAATTTTGGCTCAAAATCGAAGTTTATTTATGACAAACAAATTTAAAAGGAAATGTTTGCAGAAATTCTACATTTCAAGTAAACAGGAAAAAAGAATGATACAGGAAGACGACCTCTTACCTCGAGCAACCGAGCCGCCATTTTTGTCAGCACTTCATGCGAAGAACGACACAACATGCCCTTTTGGCTATAAACTTGGCGAGTCAACAGAAAACAACACAGCTCTACTTTTTTTCTCAGGTAAGGAAACAGTTCAAACTTTTAGCGATTCCATTGAAGCCATTACGCTGTTGTTTGCGAAATGAGTAAACTTGTGAATTGCCATGTTTGAAAATTCTGCAAAGATCTATTTTTAAACTTACGCGTGATTTGATCTGTCAATCAAATCCTACTTTTGAATGGTTTCCTTTCTGATTTTGTTGAGATCACTTCGTGTGTATATACTAAAACAATTATTCTTCTCAATCTCGGTGAATAGTGGCTTTGGGAATATTTACCTCGCCGCTTTCGCGGCTCGGTAAATATTTTGCCACTATTCACCTCGATTTCAAAGAATAATTGTTAAATATTCGGCAGTAGTTTTGCCTACATTATTGGGTAAGTCGCCTCTAAAAGAGCAAAGTCACTAAGCATTACGAATTTGACAACGCCCACAAGTGTTGAAAGGGAAAACGGGTCACATCCGGTAGATGTGCGTCAGTCAAGCCCTTTAAGGTTTTGCTTAAACTCCCTGCTGAGAGAGATAGAACTGGACTACCTTTGGATAGCCTGTGCCAGGCGTTCAGCGTTTTTTTCCCCGTTTTCCCGGTGTATGGCTTAACTCGCTCCCCACCATCTGACCGCTGCGCTCTACTATCTGAACGCCTGGAACAGGCTAACTTTTGGATAGCAACACAGAAGAGGAAAAGAAATGATCTTGGAAAAGTGGGTTGGTCTCGTCGGCTTTCTTTCCGATACTTCATTTGAAATCTACCTCTTAGTGTTGCAAAACAGTGTATAAGAGAAAGGTATTTAGACAAAAAATATAACAGGCTTATAACAAGAACCGCTGTGACAGTGCCTAATTGAAAGGAAACTTACCACTTCCTGGTTCGAGAAAACACTTCGATAAAGTGCCAGTGGGTCACTTCCGGCAATGTAAAATCGCTCGTATCTAAAACGAAGGCGTTATAAAGCACAATTACAAGGTTGCAAATATTTTGTTTTAAGAAAGGACATATGCCCGACTGTCAGGTCACCATTTCAGTCGGAAAAACCACAAACTTCGTCTGGCATACATTATGTTGACTATTGATTTCTTTAAAAACTATCTTCTGAATCTTCAGCTTGTGCTCTGTCCGTTATAAATCATGACACAGGTAAGAATTTGTCGGAAAATGGGTTAATTTTAGTCAGACATTGTTATTTCCAGCTTTTCTGTCCATTATTTCGTAATAGCCCAGTAAAAGGGAAATTTCCACTGTACTGTATTTATCCAGTCGACTACGCCATGTTTGGTTCACATCCCACGTGGTCCCTAGTTCGTCCCAGACCCTTAGCAGGCAACAGCACAGTCATTAATGCAAAGGACAGAAAAAATAAGGAAACATCTTGGGAGCAATTCTCGCCATGTGAAAACATTCGCCTCGTTTCGATTTCTGCAAAACTGGTGCTGCATGACCCAAGTCAACCAAAAATACTCGAAAAATTAATCAATAACAAGCTTTACTCACCCACGATCTTGTTGCCAAAAATGAAGGAGAAATGATTTCTTTACCATAACAAGTCGCCAATCAAGAGTCACATAAACCTAAATGAAAGCATTATTTTTAATAACACTAAACGACAAAGGTTCTCCTTAAGGCAGAGTAAAACGGACAACAAAAACGGGAAACTTGTTTTGTAATATTGCAGCAAAACGAGTTGAGTAGCGACGTTGCGCGTTTTTAATACCAACCACGAATCAACCACGAACAACCACGAATTAAACTACCGTATTTATTCGAATAAGCGCCCAACCTCGAATTAGCGCCCACCTCGAATAAGCGCCCATCCTAAAGGCAGAAAAAGTTAATAAGCGCCCAGCCTCGAATAAGCGCCCACCCCCTCCTCCTCCCAATCAAACTCAAATAAGCGCTCACCCCCACCCCACCCACTTGAGTGAATAAATTTTAATGAGAGACTTCCCCGAGGACGGAGTTTTCTTCAGAGTATTTTACAGAAGCCTTGCTTTGTTACTTCTTCGCGTTTTGTTATTAGCATTTATTGTTTTGTTGCAAAATAACATACTTCACTTGCTGAAAATGGTGAAAATTTAATAAGCGCCCAGCCTCGAATAAGCGCCCACCTCGAATAAGCGCCCACTCTCAAGGTCCAAAAATTTAATAAGCGCCCAGGGCGGTTAATCGAATAAATACGGTAACCTGGTTCCCAGGTTCTCTCTCGTACCCGTAGGGAAGGGTAGGAGAGAACCCTGGAAACGAGGATGGAATTAAACCTGTCTCTCCAACAAATCGGGTTGTTACAGATTGCGAAAAGTTGTTGCAGACAGTAGAGAGTGGTTCTATTTTTTTTTTTACAACAAAATCTCAAACGTTGCGCGCTTTACAGGCCCAAGGCAAACTTGTTTTGCAGCAAGTTACGTAAATACCGTGTATAGCGTGACTTCCGTGTAATTTCATCCAATCAGAAGTCAGTATTTACGCAACTTGCAACAACCCGATCCTGATTTGTTTCAAGACAGGTTTAAACGTGGGTGGTAAAAACGCGCAAGAAAAGAAAATCGCTTAAGGTGGCTCGACTGGATTTTTTGGGGTTGATACCTCCCAAGTTTGAGCGGTAATGGGTTCATGATAACCGTCACGAATATAGAGACATTAAGTTACCACTAAGCCCACTGTGTAGTTGGTGTAGTAACTGTAGTTGCTGTAGTTGGTGTAGTTGGCGTAGTTGCTGTAGTTGCTGTAGTTGGTGTAGTTGGCGTAGTTGCTGTAGTTGCTGTAGTTGGTGTAGTTGGTGTAGTAGCTGTAGTTGATGTAGTTGCTGTAGTTGGTGTAGTTGCTGTAGTTGCTGTAGTTGCTGTAGTTGGTGTAGTTGCTGTAGTTGCTGTAGTTGGTGTAGTTGCTGTAGTTGGTGTAGTTGCTGTAGTTGCTGTAGTAGCTGTAGTTGGTGTAGTTGCTGTAGTTGGTGTAGTTGGCGTAGTTGCTTTAGTTGCTGTAGTTGGTGTAGTTGGTGTAGTAGCTGTAGTTGGTGTAGTTGGGGTAGTAGCTGTAGTTGATGTAGTTGCTGTAGTTTTTGTAGTTGGTGTATTTTGTGTAGTTGCTTTAGTTGCTGTAGTTGGTGTAGTTGGCGTAGTTGCTGTAGTTGCTTTAGTTGGTGTAGTTGCTGTAGTTGGCGTAGTTGATGTAGTTGCTGTAGTTGCTGTAGTTGGTATAGTAGCTGTAGTAGCAGTAGTTGGTGTAGTTCCTGTAGTTGCTGTAGTTGCTGTAGTTGGTGTAGTTGCCGTAGTTGGTGTAGTTGGTGTAGTTGGTGTAGTAGCTGTAGTTGGTGTAGTTGCCTTAGTTGGCGTAGTTGACGTAGTTGGTGTAGTTGCTGTAGTAGCTGTAGTTGGTGTAGTAACTGTAGTTGGTGTAGTTGCTGTAGTTGGTGTAGTTGGTGTAGTAGCTGTAGTTGGTGTAGTTGCCGTAGTTGCTGTAGTTGGTGTAGTTGCTGTACTTGGTGTAGTAGCTGTAGTTGATGTAGTTGCTTAATGCTGTAGTTGCTGTAGTTGGTGTAGTTGGTGTAGTAACTGTAGTTGCTGTAGTTGGTGTAGTTGGCGTAGTTGCTGTAGTTGGTGTAGTTGGCGTAGTTGCTGTAGTTGGTGTAGTAGCTGTAGTTGATGTAGTTGATGTAGTTGCTGTAGTTGGCGTAGTTGGCGTAGTTGCTGTAGTTGGTGTAGTTGGTGTAGTAGCTGTAGTTGATGTAGTTGGTGTAGTTGGTGTAGTTGGTGTAGTAGCTGTAGTTGATGTAGTTGGTGTAGTTGGTGTAGTAGCTGTAGTTGATGTAGTTGGTGTAGTTGATGTAGTTGCTGTAGTTGGCGTAGTTGGCGTAGTTGCTGTAGTTGGTGTAGTTGGCGTAGTTGCTGTAGTTGCTGTAGTTGGTGTAGTTGGTGTAGTAGCTGTAGTTAATGTAGTTGCTGTAGTTGCTGTAGTTGGTGTAGTTGGCGTAGTTGCTGTAGTTGCTGTAGTTGGTGTAGTTGCTGTAGTTGGCGTAGTTGCTGTAGTTGGTGTAGTTGCTGTAGTTGCTGTAGTTGCTGTAGTAGCTGTAGTTGGTGTAGTTGCTGTAGTTGGTGTAGTTGGCGTAGTTGCTTTAGTTGCTGTAGTTGGTGTAGTTGGTGTAGTAGCTGTAGTTGGTGTAGTTGCTGTAGTAGCTGTAGTTGATGTAGTTGCTGTAGTTTTTGTAGTTGGTGTATTTTGTGTAGTTGCTGTAGTTGCTGTAGTTGGTGTAGTTAGCGTAGTTGCTGTAGTTGCTTTAGTTGGTGTAGTTGCTGTAGTTGATGTAGTTGCTGTAGTTGCTGTAGTTGCTGTAGTTGCTGTAGTTGGTGTAGTTGGCGTAGTTGCTGTAGTTGCTGTAGTTGGTGTAGTTGGCGTAGTTGATGTAGTTGCTGTAGTTGCTGTAGTTGCTGTAGTTGGCGTAGTTGGTGTAGTTGCTGTAGTTGCTGTAGTTGGTGTAGTTGGTTTAGTTGCTGTAGTTGCTGTAGTTGATGTAGTTGTGGTAGTTGGCGTAGTTGGTGTAATTGGTGTAGTTGTTGCAGTCGGTGTAGTTGCTGTAGTTAGTGTAGTTGATGTGGTTGGTGTAATTCGGTGTAGTTGCTGTATTGTGCTTATCGGGGGGTTGATCATTGATATTCGGGGTAATGCAAAAGAAAGAGTGTCCAGATTTGGCATCTCCGCTGTAGTTCGATGTAGTTTGGTGTAGTTTAGATGTAGTTACTTTTTTTTTAGTGTCTTGTTGTAGGAATACGATGACGAGATTGTAATGAACATTAAATCGCGTTTTCCCCCTTTTTTAGTTTTTTTTTTTTGACGTTCTCGCTAAAGAACGTAGTAGATTGACGACGGCCAACTAGTTTTCTCACCAAAATGACACCTGTTTATCTGTGAGCACTACAGTTGACTCTCGGTAACTCGAACCCTCGCTAACTCGAACCTCGCGCTAACTCGTATTCCCCTCCGAAGACGAGGTACGAACTAAACGAACACAAATTTTAGAAAGTTTCCCTCAAAGTAAGTACAGTCGACTCACGATTCGAACCCTCGCTAACTCGAACCTCGCGCTGACTCGAACTAAAATCGATTTCCCCTGGGTTTCCGCCATACATTTAATGTAATTTTACCCTCGGTAACTCGAATCCTCGATAACTCGAACTCCCGCTAACTCGAACCAATTTTCGTTTCCCCTCAAGTCATTTTCTATACAACTTTACCGTCGATAACTCGAACCGTGTTTTGAGCCCTTAAAAAGTCTGGAAAAACAGTGTACTGGCGTTCAAAACATTGGATTTGAAAGTCCCACTGACCTGTCGCAGATATAGTTCACTAGTGGAGGCTGATGTTGTTTCTCACAAATCCAACGTGAAACAGCTTTACTTCTCAAAACAGTAAAACGCAGGCTCTATTTAGACTATGTTTTGTTAAGTTATACGTTGTGATTTATAATCTGACAGTATGTTTCAATTTTCACTTAACATTTCTGCAATAAAATGTGATTAAAATGTTCACTGTACAGTACTGAAACTGTTTTTCACCTTACCTCCGGCTATTTTCTTCAAGCTCCCGATAACTCGAACTCCCGATAACTTGAACTTTTTTCCATTTCCCTTGAAGGTTCGAGTTATCGGAAGTCGACTGTACTTAGTAATTGGGAGGATCTCGAAAACGTTATGGTGATTCTTGAAACTTATGCTCTCTAACGGGTAATTAATCTTATATAATGATGTATTCGATATAATTTCATTGAAATTATATGATGTCTTTACCTTTATTTCCTTTCTCTTAATATTTATGTAATTAATCTACATAATGTCTGACTGCATCTGGCACTTGAAATTTACGGATTATCTTCATTTTAGCGCCGTTTTCCCTATTTCCCTAAAATCTATGGTCATTAAACCTCAAACAGTGACCTCACCGTAAATACTTTAAAGCATTGTCATTATGTGAAAGTTTTGGTGAGTCGAGAGTGCCAATTAGTATTCGTCTATTTTTTCAGCAAAAATAACGAGCCCCTGGATCACATATATTAAATGACCATTGCGACTAACACGATTAAACCTTGTTTGTTACTTCATTGTTACATTTAAGTAACGATTTGAAATAAAACTATTTTTTGTTGTTCTTGCTGCTTTTGTGTTTGTTCATTTCCGTTTTTATTTCAGTAATCGACCTCCGAGTTAATTTGTGTGCTGTAGAGCGGTTATAAAAATCAATACATGAGTTGTAGAGCTTTGCCACTTTTTCTGGTTTGTTTTTACAAGATTTGATTCCCAACGACAGTAAGCAAAATTCCAAAATCATAAGTTCCAACACAGAAAAACTGCTACGTGTGTAATCCGCGCCTTCCCTTTGTAATAAAAATGGTTTTTCTGTTATTCTTTTAGTGAAAGATGTTTTAATAAACTTGCTTCTGTAGTTCTTTCTTTGCCTTGCTTCAGGTGAGTTTCTTCCGTTTCCACAGCTTTTGCATTTGCACTTGTCACCACATTTTATTCCCGCTTTCAAACATTTCCATCTGCTTGAGTACTTTCTTCTTCTCCCAATACTTTGTTTTGGTGCCTCGCAACAGTTTAAAGTATTTGCATTTTTGTTGTTGACACCACAACGGCGCTTTATTCGGATTTCCCGCATTGTCCTGTATTTTCCTACAAATTGGGGTCTTGAAAGTTCAATCAATGAATCATAATGGCCACTTTCCTCTTGTGTAAATGCGAGATACAGCGGCACACTGGAAATGGCCTGAACGTGTGGCGTAACGATTGTTAAAGGCCAATCTGTTACTGACGTTACAAGGACAAGGGGAAGGTGGAGGACATTGGCTGCGGCAAGTGGCATAGCATCGCAAATACTCGCTGCAAAATGACCTGGCATTAAGAATCGTTTCGCTTCAGAATAATAGTCAAGGCCCGGTTGAACAAAGGGTTGGTATTGCTCGCTGTTACTTAGCCATTCTTGAACTATTAATTGTCGCAAACGTCGTGCTATTTCGGTAATACTTTGTTGATTTTTTATTCCAAGTTTGTTGAATTGTTCTTCAACTTTTTCGTCGCATGTGGTCAACAAGTTCGATATCTGTAAAGCGAGCGAAAAAAAAGAAGCAGTCCCCATCTTTTGATGATGGTTGTCTTTTAAAACCCATATTTTCTGCGCGCTGATCAAGGATGCTTTGACTTGAATGATTGGTGTTATGTTCTTTATTCATTGACTGGAAAACCAATAGTGACCGACGGAAGTCGTGACTTTCCAGTTCATCTAGTCCATTACCTTTTACGTTATTATAGATTTTGCTCGAAACGTCTGCTCTATTGATAATGGCTTCCAGCATCAAACTGTCTTGATCGGATTTAGATTCGTTTAAACTCAGGATATCAGCTGGTAAAACGCTTCCATTGGCATTCTTATAAAAGCCAAAATTCTCTTCTACATCGATAGTTTCCACTACTTCTTTTTTTTACATCCCTGTTTTTCGTCTGTTTCAGTATTTATGAGATGAAAAGCTCTGGTAAACAGAGCATACGCAAGTTTAACACCTAACTTACTTCTTCCTGCAATTTTCCGAAGCTTTCTGTGTAGCCTTTCGTTTTTGTTTGTTCCACACCCAGTGGGAATGTCTGACACCAACTACACCAAATACACCAACTACAGCTACTACACCAACTACACCAACTACACCAACTACACCAACTATAGCTACTACACCAACTACAGCTACTACACCAACTATAGCCACTACACCAACTACACCAACTACAGCAACTACGGCAACTACACCAACTACAGCTACTACACCAACTACAGCAACTACACCAACTACACCAACTACAGCTACTACACCAACTACAGCAACTACACGAACTACAGCAAATAAAGCAACTACAGCAACTACAGCAACTACATCACCTACACCAACTACACCAACTACACCAACTACAGCTACTACACCAACTACACCAACTACAGCAACTACAGCAAGTACACCAAATACAGCAACTACACCAACTACAGCAACTACAGCAACTACAGCAACTACAGCTACTACAGCTACTATACTAACTATAGTAACTACAGCAATTACATCAACATTCTCACAGTGGGCTTAGTGGTCACTTAATGTCTCTATATTCGTGACGGTTATCATGAACCCATTACCGTTTGAGCATTAACTACGTCGGCATGAGTAAAGATATGGAAAAAATGTTACCACAACTGTATTATATAAAGATGAAAATTTCTTATGATCTGGGTTTTATTGCAATCGGAGTCGCCATGGCAACGTAATGACGCCATTACGTTTTTCATTTATCGTTGTGTTTCTCTGTACCAGGAGTTTTTTGAAGAAATCGCTTAAGGGAGTATGTACCTGCCATAATTGCCTCCATTATGGCAAAGTTTGAAGAAATTCTATGAGAGCGTTTTCGAGATATTTCGAAATGCAGTTTTAAGAATCATCAAAGCAGTGAAATAGCATGCTAGCCGCTCAATTCGCTAATATTTTAAGAAAATGATAAGCTTTGGGAACGCGGCTTCATCTCATAGTGGTTTGATTCCATTGAAAACTGCATACAAAAAAAGAAGGGAATTGCTCTGGGCGATCGCGACTAAGAAGAATTTTATTAACTTGCATTCAGCTACTTTTGATACAGTTTTTGGACGTCATTTGGTCCATGCCTAAAAATTTCGTATTTTTTCAAAAACCGCTGGACAAATTTTTTTATAAATTCGACAATCCCGAGATCAATCGTCAAGAAATATTCCCTGCAAGTTTCAAGAATATTGAAAACAGAGAAGGCTTTTAAATAGGGACTCAAACATAACCAATTTTCCCCCCAGATTTTGTGTTTACCATTGAGCGTCTTCATTATTCACTGGCATTGTTTTCAAGCTTCATATGCACGTGCACAACTTGCAAAAGATATAAATTTGCATCAAAAAGAACTCTCGATTACTTTCCGAAAAAATATCCGGTATATGCTAATAATTGGCTTGTCGTCACAGATAGCAGTAAAAGCCGAAACGGTGAACGTCACGGCTCATCGTGTAGGATGCAATACTTTATTATCTTACTCGGGTTATAACATCACGGAAACTCTCACAAAGAGTTGCTCTGATGTTACAATGTATCACTAACCTCTTTACTCGGTTATTAGCATATCCCGGAGATTTAACCGAGGGTCCTTTTTGATGCAAATTCTTTTTGCTAAATGTGCACGTGTATATGAAACTTGAAAACAACGCCAGTGAATAATGAGGAAGCTCGCTTGTAAACACAAAATCTGGGGGAAAAATTGGCTATATTTGAGGCCCTATTTAAAAGCCTTCCCTGTTTTCAATGTTCTTAAAACTTGCAGGGAATATTTCTTGACGATTGATTTCGGAATTGTCGAATGCATAAAAAAATTTATCGAGCGGTTTTTGGAAAAATGCGAAATTTTACGGCATAGACCAAATTACCTCCAAAAACTGTATCAAAAGCATCTGAATGCAAGTTAATAAAATCCTTCTTACTTGCGATCGCCCAGAGCAATTCCCCTCTTTTTTTTGTATGCAGATTTCAATGGAATCAATCCACTATGAGGTGAAGCCGCGTTCCCAAAGCGTATCATGTTCTTAAAATATTAGCGAATTGTGCGGCTAACATGTTATTTCACTGTTTTTATGATTCTTAAAACTGCATTTCAAAATATTTCGAAAACGGTCTCATAGAATTTCTTAAAACTTTGCCATAATGGAGGCAATTATGCCAGGTACATACTCCCTTAAGCGATTTCTTCAAAAAACTCCTGGTACAGAGAAACACAAAGATAAATGAAAAACGTAATGGCGTTATTAAGTTGCCATGGCGACTCCGATTGCACTAAAACCCAAATCATAAGAAATTTTCATCTTTATGTAATACAGTTGGGGTAACCTTTTTCCCATATCTTTACTCATGCCGACGTAGCTAAGGGTCAAACTTGGGAGGTATCCCTCTAAAAAAATCCAGTCGAGCCACCTTAAGCAATGTTGCAAAATAAGTTGCGCGTGTTTTAGTAGCAAGACCAATGACGTATATCTTGTCCGTTCAACAATGAAAGTTTCACACTTTAAGTTGTACAAGAACGTTCGGCCAACACTCAAGTCCATGATTTTGCTTATACCTACCCTTAAATAAAGAGGTTGTTTTGATGTCACAGTCGCAATAATCTGCGTGAGGAAAGCTTTCTTTCGTTGAGGTGCAACGATGTCATGAAGACTGCGTCTTAAACTTTCGCCTCCCAGAAAAATTCCTGAAATAATGGTAAGAGCGGTAGATAATGTACTGTTTAAAAAACGAGCAGGAGTGTATTATCAGAGTTAAAATATACGACTCATTACACATTAATTTCTTTTGTTTTTCTTTACGAATTATTGATGAGTTTTTGGATGATGCCATAAAGAACCAAGGACTCAGTCCACGCAATAATGGCTATTTGTAAGACAGAGAAGTTTAGTTTTTTTTAATGCTTATGCTCTCTTTTAAGTTTTTATTTTGTCCCGATAAATAGCCGACACCCTGCATTTTGCGACACCACCACTGGTTTTCCCGCGAAATGAGGTCTGAGAAACGAGCGCAGAAATTCCATACTGATGACGCATCACTACTCAAATCTGGGTAGCAAATTTTCCAGCGCGGCATGACCAATCAGATGCTCTACCCAGATCTGGGTAGTGACGCGTCATCAGTATGGAATTTCTGTGGTCGTTTCTCAGACGTCATTTCGCGGGAAAACCAGTGGTGGCGTCGCGAAATGTCGGCTGTTTTTTTCAGGCTACCCAATAAAGTGCCTGGTCTTAAGTAACTAACAAAACCTGCTTAATACAAACACCCTGTTAATACGGATATTGTCTATTGTGCTAGATCCGTCCTGTTTTTCTCCTCAGTTTCCCAATTAACGGCGGTTCGAATGTAAAGATGTTCTTACCGAGAAACAAAACACCCTCCTTTTCACTGAGCTCCATGAGATGGTCGTAAACTAAAAAGTAAAAGAAAAATAATGTCAGAGCTGGCACATACATGTACAACAAAAGCATTAAAGGAGATGTGTCAGGAAATTTATTAAAATTCAAACAGAGGGAACTCCCAAAAAATTGAGTGCAACCTAAAAATTGATCGCTCATAACGTTAAGAGAAGGTATAAATAACACAGCAAATACAAAAGGAGACATGGATGACATGTTAGCCTGACAGTTTTTCAAGGTTCATTTTTTTCTTTTGTAACATTTGAAATAATGCTTGAGAGACATATCTGTTTTACAGGAAGAAATGATTTTGAAATTCACAAGTATTATCCATGGCGAATAAGGACGCGGAAAGTGAATTAGCCAGTCGTGACGTCACAGCCCCTTTTTTAGCGAGCTTAAGCAACCACGACGGCGACGGCTACGAAAACGTCACTTAAAAACTTACTTCGCGCTGCCTCAAACTTTATCGCGCTTATTCCAACTCGTACAATTCGTCAAATGTTGGCAATTTTTTCTGGAGTTGAATTCTAAAAGACTGTATCAGAGTTCAGGAAAAGAAAAAGAAAGTCGTTGCTGTCTTCGTTCACGTCCTCCACAAAACGTGAAATTAGGCATTTTCACGTTGTAGTCGTACAGCGACGGCAAAGAAATGTACAAACAAGCGTGATGCACGTGCAAAGTTGTTGTTTTGCCAATCTAAACCTATTGCTTTTTTGCCGTTCTAGCAACATTGCTCTTAAGCTCCCTAATATTCGCTCGGACGGCACTCTGGAATCCAGTGTCTTCCAGCTACCCGAGTTTATTGGACCAACACCAAGTCGCGAATTGCAGTATCAAACGCAGGAGAGTCAAGGACCAGGAGTTTAATCCGGGGCCCGCTTCTAGAAAGTCCCGGTAACTTACCGGTCCCGAAATCAAAAATTCAAATCAAAATCAAAAGAAAAAAAGCGCGGGTCCTGGCTAACAAGCCAGTTCTCTATCCAAAATGTAAATAACAACAGTTTTCCAGGCCCGTTAATTATATGGACTTTCCAATAACGGGTCCCTGGTTTGAGAAAACTGAATGACGTCACAAATGTCGTTAAATACTAGAAGGGGCCTGGAACTGTGAGTTCAACTATCTTTACCCAGTTTGGCAAAGTGGACTACGGCCTCTGATCGGGCAACTCTTGGACCTTGGATGAAATAATGTTCCTCAAGCTCCACCTCGTGTAAATATGGCATCATACGACCATACAGTGGTCCAAAACCACTGAGTGCCGCGTCTACAATGGTCTGAAATACAAAAAAAATGCCGTGAGGAGTAGAAATAATGCATGATGCAATCCACCCCAACCTCCAGCCCCCAACCCCTTGACGCTGTGCTCATTAAGTTTCCTTAAAAGACCGTTGTAAACCGCTGCGGCTTAACTATATGAAGAAATACGCATCCCAATGTACAGGAAACTGCACACTTATTTCTTATGGCTTCAATCCACAAAGAATAAGGTTCAACAGGAGCATTAACTTATAGCTCAGTTGGGAGAGCGCTGGTCTGCTGAGCGGGGGTCGCGGGTTCAATTCCCCGGCCAGACCAACACTCAGGGTGGGTGGGTTATCTGTTAGGGGGATCTTAATAAAGGGATAAGCTCATAATCCTCCTTCAGGTGTCGTAACGGCTACCTGTAAACAGTGCACATACAGCTATTTCGAGAAAGGTTGTCGAAAAAAAGTGCACGCGACAATCCCGAAAGGTATTGTCGGTAGTTTTGAGTTCACTATTCTTCAAAGAAATTTGAAAGAATGGCACGACAGGTCATGTGCGTATGTTTGCGAGTGCTAAAGGAAAGCAACAAAAGTAGGCTCGACAGCTACAGTGTCAGGAACAGCCGTGTATTGATCATATCCCATATTAGTATATTCGCGTGCGCATTTTTTCCGACAACCTTTCTCGAAATAGCTGTATATAAGGTTAGTTACCTCCTGACTCATCAAGACCAAACATATAATCACAGTTAGAAGGAAAAAGCCAGGGAGAAAAAAACTGGAAAAGGAACCTATTCAAATAACCCTTAGATTTTTAGGATAGCTGGTGTTCCTTGTCAATGAGGGGCTTGGTAAACATACCTTAAAGCCAGAAATTGTCGTTCGTGTGTTAACTTTGTTTACAAGAATGTGTAATTTGGAGCGTAAATAGTTGTACTGTTTTCCATCCAATGTTGCTATGGCACTCACAAGGCCTGTAAACAAAATTTATCAGTCATAATCTTGAAACAGTATAATGAGATGAATCAATGAACGCTGGACGAAAAAGATGAAAGTATCAGCGGCTAATGAACAACTAAGCGGCTGAAAAAGGGCCAGAACAAGTTCTAAAAAGAACTGCGCTTCAGGCCCCAGCTGTACTCAAAATTCGGATTTGGATATTCTCCGCATCAATCTCTATCCAGTGAATAAGCATTTGGAAAACCAATTGCGATATCGCTGGATACAGATTCATTCATAGCTAGTGCAGCACTATCCACCTTTTAAAGAATAAGGGCCAGATGGCTTAGCTCAATGGGATAGAGCGTTGTGTCCGGTCATCGCTAGCCTGCGAGCAGGTACACTTGTTCGAGTTTCTCGGCCAATTCGTCTCGCGCGCTCGCGAACTCGAACAAGTGAGCTAACCTGCGATCAGGCAATTTTTTTCCTCGTTTCCCAAACAAAAAGGGAAGAAGGACTGCCTAATCGCCGGTTAACAAGTGAGCCTGCTCGCCAGCTAAGTCCGCAAAAATAAGGGTTCGATTCCCGGTCACGCCTAACTTTTTATGCGTTTTTTTCAACCGCTCGGTGGATTTTTCTAGCGCAAAGACACACATACTTTCACCAAAGTATTTTTCAGTTATAGCTCTGATAAAAATACAAAGATCAGGCTTAGTTAGTGAGGGCACGTTGGCGGAGAAGGGTGTAAGTCTTGTGCGTAAGAGAACTCTAACGAAGAGGTGGGGTAAGGTGAGGTGGATGAGGCTTTGTTCACGAGTGCGCGCATATTCCTCTCAGGGTGCGTTCGACTGATCGTATTCCGGAATAAGGATGCGTAAAAGTTTTGCTACAAACCTCTTCTATCGTGAGGTTTCGACCATTTAAACTCTACATATATTGAAATATTTTATTTCACGCAAATTTCTAGATATTGCAATGAAATGAACGCCAAAACAAGTGATTTCTACAGTTAATGCCACCTCTTCTTATTCCAAAATATGGTCAATCGAGAACGCCCTTAAACATAAATACAACGAAGGTGTTTTAACATAATAGAGACCTTTATATTCGAGGACGAGAACGACTGCGAGTACGAGATTTGACTTAAAGTTTTTTCGCGTATTCTCAAAAATAGACCCCCCGGAAAGCTTCAAGGTTTAGCCCTCTCCCGATCGTAAAGTGATAAAACGTCTAACATTTCATAACTTGTTTCCACCACTACCACATTCTCGTTGAAACTCGTGGTAGAATGACGACAGCTATCGCGTTTTCCCGCCAAAATAACGCAGGTTCACGAGCAAGCCCTACTTAGTACTGAGAAAATCTTGTAATCCTAGTCATTTTCGTCTTCGAATCTAAAGGTAGGACGCACCATAAGCTTCAATGCCCGGTATATGTGAGACAAAGCTTTGAGAATCAATCGACTGAACGGATCCAGACACCAGTTTAGACAACAGCTTCGGCCGCTTTTCGCCAAATAGCTCCATCCTAAGAAAACGGAAAATATAAAGGAAACATCAATAACAGCTTGTTTCAACTTCTTTTCTCTAAACGAATAGAGATGTATTTTATGTACAACGGAAACTGTTATTGAAACTGTCAATGCTCTGTGGCCAGAACTAAGTTTAAGAAGTAACTCTATGCTAAACTAACTAACTAACTAAACTGGGACCCACTCTATAAGACCTGGAACTAATAAACCCTTTAGTGTTTCATGAGACACTTCGAAGAATACCATAACATTCTTTTATTATAGTCGAACTTTCACTAACGGCCACCTCTCTACAACGGCCACTTTTTTTGGCGAACAGTCCATACATTGACTCTTGTTTAAACCACTCTACGATGGCAAAGGTGGCCGTTGTGGAGAGGTTCAACTGTGGCGGATATTTGGGCAGTGCAAGGTCAAAGTCGTTTGTGTTTATGTCCCGGCAATAACTGATGAAACTACACATGCTATAACTGTATCATTGTATTACGTTCCGTGGATAGCCTGCGTAGCTGGCGCGATTAGCGGTCGAGTGCTGTTGTTTTTTGGCGGTGGAGCTGCGAGAAGATTCGGGCGCAAAGTACCCCGCGCATAGCAAAACTGATCCCTCGCGGGCTCCGCCGCAGATTTCCCTTTCAACCAAGAAAGTACCCCGCACATAACAATCCCGAAAGCTACGCAGGCTAGGTCCGTAGAGCGGTTACGATATATCACCTGATAGCTGCCACAGTGAGGTGAGTTGTCAGTCTGGGATAAGGATTTGGAGGAATGAACTCTTCATCAGTCACGAGATCAACTAAGAATTCGTGGAACACTTGATCCAGCTTTGAGTCCACAAAGTACTGAAATGAACGTCAATTAAGACGCAATAAATCGTTTAGTTAAATGAGATCCTCCACCAACATCTGGTAAAGAAAATGCCAATTGAACATCGAAAGTGACTCTAATTTCTCTTTCGCGAACCGTATTACAGGTAACCATAGTCCATTATGAGTTCCCATAACTAAAACCTGTCTCAAATACACGTTGTGTCCGTCTGGTCGTCTTACAGCGGAATGCATCGCTTTACTCTATTCCAACTCCTCCGCCCCTCGCGGCTTCGCGGCTGGCTCGCCCGTTCTCTAGCAGTTCGTTTCGCTCGCCATAAATAAAGAGCTTGCTAATAGTCCACTTCTAACATTAAAAAATGCAACCGGCACGCCCGATCTACTCTCGGCTACATTCTTTCAGTGGGCAGATTCTCAGGATTCTTAGATTCTTATATAATTCAGGAAATCTTATTAACTACAGCAAACACGAGACTGAGGTCGTAAAATTCATGTAAAAAGCCGGCAACACCGCAATGAAGATTTGTTTTACGTCCACACATAACACGAGTAACTTAACATACAAGTTTATACCAGCTTCAATGTGGTTACTTTTTATGTTTGTTGTTCACGTTAACGCAGTCTATAATGACCTTTGGTTGATGAATAAATTTGTCTAACCTGTAATAACACCGTTTCCTTCGTAATAGCAGAGGGAGCAGCGATAGTTTTTGCTTGCGCGACCACATCTAGCACTAAAGGAAATAAAACATAATGAAAGTTTAGAAAGAGGAAAATTTGTTGTCTTTACAAAGATGTTTCCAAATATAGACATGTAGCAGTAATTTTCTGTGGCATCATTATGCTGCCGTACGGACCGCGCAGGATTAGCTCAGTCGGTTGAGCGCTTGACTGTAGAGCAGCAGGTCGCGGGTACGATTCCCGGGACCGGACCAATACTCAGCGTCTCAAAATAAGTGAGAAATGAAGGTAATCCCTTTGCCCTGCAGGCGGCTAGACCTTGGCGTGGCTCGGATGACCACGTAAAATGGCAGTCCCGTCTCCAGTAGGATACGTAAAAATAGTGTCCCCAGTCGGTACTTTCGTGCTAAATACATTGACACTCAAATAAATTGCATTTTTTTAGATGAGTTAGTTTAAATATGTAACAAAGCAGCACCTAGATTTCCTTGATTGATTATATCCAGTCTTTCAGCTCCATGTTTAAACCTTTGCTGAACAATGAAGGAATTGCTGTTCCTCACAGAGGGAAAATACTTCTGTAAAAAAAAAAATAATACAATAAAATAAATTTTTAAGTAAAATTAAACAGATTAATTACGTTACAAATTTAAGTTCACCTTACATCAAAGAGAGAAAATCTTCAGATTGGGGTGAAAGATCAAATACGTAACACAGTGTTCAATTCCATCAACGTAGTCCGCGAAGTGAGATGAAAAGATGAGGTATTTTTCCACTAGATGACACATTTTAGCTTGCGTAGCTGGCGGGATCGTCACGTCAGCGCTTTTTATATGAGGCAGAGTTGTGTGCCCGCGCGGAGAATTGGGAGAACGCTGGGTGCTGTTAAAGGGATATGGGCATCCCCATTCCCAAAACCATAGTGATATATGGGCATCCCCATCTCATCTTATTTTAGCGATTATGGTTAGGGTAACAGGGGATGCCCATATCACTAGGGTTTTGGGAATGGGGATGCCCACATCACTGTGACAGCGCCCTGGATTTCACAAGTTCAGAGCACTGGGCTCCCTTCAACTTTTCTTAGAGCACAGCCTTGCTATAAAAGTTAACATTTTAAGTGTAGTTACATTTAGGCTTAAATGGGGAAAAAATGGACAGGGTTACGTCATTCTGTCACCTTTTAATTCTTTAACCCATTCACCCATGAACCGCCGGTGCGGATCCACATCCCTTATACCGGTTATAACTCCATCAGTTTTAACGGTCTTGGACAATTTTGGCCCAAGCCAAACGTCCAACTTTTCAAGAGACGAACCAAACTCTAATTTGGGTCGACCTAAATTAAGTTAAGATCGTCTGTTTGGTCAGAGTCGAACTTAGGACGCGTCGAACCAATCAACTGAATCAGATCAGTAATAAATTTTCTCCCGAACAAGGCTAAATATACATTGTCAGACAAATTTTTTATTTATTAGTTAAGCTCATCGCATGTGAACATCGACGTTTGTCCCGGAGTCGATTTTCAGACGTTCTATCCCTCTGAAGCAGACAAGTAGGCGGGGAATAAAACTGCTAGGGATTTCTTTTGGTTCTATTTTTCCTCTATTTTCCTATGAAAGGAGACGGGGGCCACGTTCAAAGTAGCCGGGAAAATACCGCCCCCCCCGCCTCTTAATGACAGCCCTACAAACTCATTCAGAAAACTCAACTGAGCGAGACGTCGTCCTTTTCATGATGGTACTTCCCATGAGAAGTTCGACGTTTGGCCTAGGCCTTTGTCATCTAACTTGTACAGGGGAAAACGATTTTCAAACCATGTCAGAATGAGAACGATTCAGTCGAGGAAACCGGTAAAAACGGGCGAAAAAAACACGAAAAGTTGACCGGGAAATTCCAATGAAATCTTGTTCCACTTCCCGCCAGTAGTTTTGGCTCATTAAGCCACACTGTCATCAAGAGGCGTTTATCGGCGAATTTCCTAGAGGCAAGGGTTAAACGAAAAGATCAGCAGACGTAGCCTTCAATTACCTTCAAACAGGAGCATTGAAACAGGGCATCATCCAACAAACCGAGGAAAATTGTTTCACAATATCTGTTCACCACTTCCAATGTTTTGCTTACCTGCAGGTAAAATAAATTCACTGAATTCAGGTCCCCGTTAAATTGCACTTTATAAGTGAGAATCAAAATGAACACCACTCACTAGATTGCTACAAAAATGGATCTTTAGGTTAATAGCTCTTACGCTACACGCAAACGGACGCAACAACTGCCAACATTGTTGGCCCAACAATGTTGGGAGTTACGTCCGTGTTGGCAGTCAGCCAGTGGTGTGCAAACGGCTGCAACAACTCTCAACAATGTTGGGACCTGCAGTGCATCGTGGAAAGGATACAACCCGTAAGACTTTAGAGATCATGTGTAATGCGCGTTCGTGGCCCCAACAATGTTTGAAGAGCTGTGCAAACGGATCCAACATGTGACATCATGGGAGTTGTTAGCCAACAATGTTACGTCCGTTTGCACGTAGACTGCAAAACAGTCGGTTTTTTCTCAAAATCAGTAAAGAAATCGGTAAAGCGTGGCGTAAGAGTCTTACGCGCGCGAGGCGCACGAGCCTCACAGGCCCGTAGTATTTTTAGCGTCTCTCCCCAGTCTCGCTCTCTGTTTTCAGTCTCATTCCAGACCTTTTGTTTGACTGCTCGCGTGTACTTGAATACGCAAAAATACGGACTGTTTTGCAGTCTAGTTTGCACGCGGCTTTAATTTACTGGTCACATTTAAGGCTCCCAACGACAGACTGACACTCAAGTTGAGAAACAGCCTTTCATTTTGAAGAATAGCTTTTATTTGTTTCTCGGTGTTGGAACCTCTGATGAAACACTCACACCACAGAAAAGTACGGCTCGATAGTTATCATACGATCAATCACACGGTACGTCTTCTACTACAAAATCAAGGGACTGGGAGAGCCACCTCTAAGAGCAAAATTCATGTAGATAGATCACAACAAAACCGTATAAGCTGAAGAACATTTATCATGTTCTAGTACACTCTCGAGTAAACCTGTTTGGAGAATAAAAGCACGGATGAAAAAAGAAAAACAAACAAACGAAAGAATATAAAAAAGTGTCCACAGCCAGCCTAGTGCATCATGTCTTCTAGGCAGCGTGGCCAAGCGGTTAGAGAGCGGAACGTGTACTTTAGCGGCCCCGAGTTCGAGTCTCTCCCCTTATCGCTTGCTGGATTTGTTCTCGAAAAACCCGAGTTCAAATCCTCGGCCACGATTGTAAAATAGCCAACTGGTTTGACTCCGATCCGGCCAGTTGGGGTTCTTATTCTTGTTATGTACCTTTTGAATTATTTGTCTTATTATCCCTGCCAAACTACATAAGGGGAGAGGATAATTAAGTACTTATATTCTCCATTACTTACCTATACAGTGGAACCCCGCCATACGACCACCCCGTTATTGCGACCACTTTTTTGTGACCCAAACAAAAGCCCACTCATTTTCTTATCTGAAAACCCCGCTAATCCGACCACCCCAGTATTATGACCAACGACCACCTTTGGGAGTCCCGAGTCGTTATTTTCTTTATAAAATTACCCCGTTAATACGACCAGTCAAAATGCTTGGTGGGGCTGCTGAATGAAGACAGACTTAATCTGACAAATAACGCAATAAAATTTTATTCAATGTTTTTAGGCAGACAGACATTGTTGTGGTCAGCATGCTCAGTCGATAACATCCGGAAAGGAAATTACAGCAAGTAAAGAAGATGAATGAACAGGCTCCACACCGCTGTGAGAACACGTTTACGTTTCAGTGCCTCGCAAATATTCATAAGTCAGTGTAACATTTCGAGGGCTCTGAAAATTATTTCGCCTTTTTGTTTCTGTTCCCTTCCTCCATAGCTCTTCTCTTCAAGTCCCTTTCCTTTTCTTTCCTCACCGATCGGTTATTTGGAATGTCGAGTAATTTGTTGAGCATATCCACGTTTCTTGGCTGTCCAGTAAACTTGTACGCGCATGGTATTTCCATCCCGTAGCCCCCGCCACGATTAACGGCTTTCCCAACAACTTGAACTTGTCCTTTGCTTCCTTTTTTTGTTAAGAAACGGCGGATAATTTCAGTTCCCTGCTTTGTGCTAGCCAGTGCTCATGGTACATGACCAGCTACATCGTTATTCTTTATCACGGCTATAGCGTTCTTGTCATGTTCATTGTTTGGTTCGTGTATTAAATCAAGAACCTCTCCAATTTCAATCTCCCAAGTATCTTGATAAACATGGTATCCCCTTATCCAGGAAGGAATTTCGGTTTCATTTAAGCTGGATGTATTTGCAGAAGGACCCGCCACGACTTCTGCGGAAAATCAAACTGACTAATCAAACATATGGTAATTATTGCATGTGCTGTAATTCGACAACAGTTGCAGACATGGGAAACACCGAAATACTATCCGTTCTCTTAAAAATGCAAATTATTGGACTGATTGGAGGTCTGTCATTCAACATCCATCGGCGGCATGTGCCAATTCTGATGTGTCTGGCAAACAAGCAAAATTTTAACGGACACAAGCCCCTGTCTTGCTTTGAGAGGTTTCAAACCACTAAACAAAATTAACGCATGTTTGAAATACCTACAAATAGCGCCTGACCGGTGACAAAAACACACAACGTATGAGTATAAAGATTATCCTTAATTGAGCATAAATTTCAATTGCTTATCAGCAAATGAACTCAGGGCTTCAATGTTCAAAACAAATTTATCATGAAACTAGTCAGAAATTCAGGCAATTTTATTTTAAAAACTTTCAAACATATACGATCTTCATTATTCCTCGGTAAAGATCATTATGTCCAGTGGCTCGAAGACCGGAAACGACAGGATCTTGACTTAAAAAATATAACATCGTGTGAAAGTGACATTCCCAAGTTGCCTGTGAATGCCTGTCTAAATAGGAGTCTTTTGTAAAAAAAGTTTTTAGATTGCGAGCACTTCGTGCTCACAACAGTTACTTCGACAAAAACAACTAGGATAGATCAAGAACATTTAACACCTTTTAAATGACGTATTTCATCTTAGCAGTATTTAGGGATATGCCAAATGATCTAAAAACAACAGATCCTACCCGGACTCGACGAATTACCAAAAGTGCATTTTTAATTTCTAAATAGGCAAGTCATTGCTCATACTCAAGTCCTAGTACACAGGTGGGGCCCCCGTAGAATAAGTTGCCATAATTCAATACGAAAAGAACAGCCAACAGCTCCTTTAGGAATGAGGTCGGTGTAATTTGCGTGAAAAAAATACACTTCGTTTGTAGGCCTTACTTCTCGGAACAAGGTAATGTTGATGATGACGCCACCTTTGTTACGATATTTTTGGTTTCATTCAACTGTCTTGCTGCCTCATGCAGTCTGTAGTCTGCGGTCTGCAGTCTGCAGTCTGCGGTCTGCGGTCTGCGGTCTGCAGTCTGGTTTAAAGAAAATTCGATACCCTCTCCATGTCAGAACGTCAAGGAACCTCCATGCAAAACATTGTTTTTGCAGACCAATTTAAATGTGGAAAGACCCAGATTCAATAAAACGAAGGATTTTCTATCTTGTTGAAGAAAGAAGAGACAAACGGCGAGATTTTAAAGGAAAACACGTTGTGACGAGTTTAATCCCTCAACGTCAATTTAAATGTGGAAAGACCCAAACGAAGAAAGATGAATTTTAAAGGGGTCTACCTCAACAAACGTAAGAGGACAAACAAAGAGATTGATAAAGCTTTGTTTGACTGGTTTCAAAAGGCAAGGTCCAAGAACATTTCAGTTACCGGGCCCATGTTGCAAGAAAAAGCTACAAGAATTGCAGAGGCTTTAGAAGTTTCCGGCGAGCAATTCAAGGCTTCAAACGGGTAGCTAGATCGCTTTAAAAGGAGAACTGGCATAAAATTAATTAATTCAGGCATTCGAGCTCAAACGGTGGACTTATGGAGAGAAAGACTTCCTGTAATTTTGCAAGGATGGCACCCTCGCGACATTTGGAACATGGTTGAAACGGGCCAGTTTTTCAGAGCGCTCCCAAACAGATCCCTGACTGAGGCTTCTCAGAGTTGCACGGGCGGTAAGAAATCAAAAGACGGGCTGACGAGTGTCAAATGCTTTATTAAAGCAGGAATGTTAGATGCAGAAGGCAACACGGATGCAGTCGAGTGTAGCAACTCTGACGTTGACCCATTTGCAGAATTACAAGACGAGTTTGATGCTGTTGAGAGCTTGCCGAAAGAAACAAGTGGGGCCTCTGCAGTTTCAATGAAAGAAACTGTAAATGGCAGTTTTGATCCACCAGTTTGCTTCGAACTTCCAGACAACTGGGAGGATACATTCTTTCGAGAAGTAGCGCTTGAACGAGGAGAGGAAACAAATGTTGCTGGTGAAAGAGGGGTTAGTGAGGATGAAATCGATGAACCTCCTGCAACTGTCGTGCCTAAAATAGCTTCATATAAGGAGGCGACATCTAGATTGCAAGAAGTTTTAAATTTTCTAGAGGCAAAGGGCAATATGAAAACTGCTAACGATCTCGCAAAAGTTATCTATTCTGTACAAAGTGATTGGCTTAAGCAAAGGCGAAGCCAATCGAAGCTCACAGACTTTTTCAAAACCGTTTGACATTTAACAAGAGGCCGTATCCTGTTAAGGAACTGAAAGACGTTACAGTATTGTTTTTGATATTACATGTACTCGGTTTTGTTCAGTTGCAATGAATTGCTGTTGTAAGGTTGAAGAATAACTGTAAAAAGGTTGATTGTATAGCGAAATTAAAGGTATTCATGTGCTGTACATGTTTAAAGCGTGTTGCATCATAATGTGACCCTACCTCGTTAATACGACCACCCCGTCAATACGACCAATTTTCCATGGCCCGAAGGTCGTCGTATTAATGGGGTTCCACTCTATATCTAAGATTCAATATTTACTGGGACAAAACAGTGTACCTCAGCAGTAAGAGGCAGTGTACCAGTCCGAGTCTTTCCCCTTAAATAAGGGTTGATAACTGTCATGGAGTCCAGCATCTTGATTAAAACCTGACCATGATACAGCAAATCACTACTTTTCTCTCGGCTACAGAAAGGAAAACAGCAGGTTACAATGATGATGATGCTCCCACAAAGGCAAACGGCATTAAGCGTAAGAAACAAAGTTAGTTGAGACTCCGAATACAAAGTTATTTTTTGCGCAGATAAAAAGGCATAAACGTCTTCCTTAATTTAGTCTCCCGCCTAAGGCTACTCCCTATAATGGCCCATAATATGGGGACGCTCCGTCCGAAAGGGGTACCTTTTTCAGGCTCCAGGTGGTATACGAAAGGGGAGGGAAATCGGTCATTTCGGTCTGTCAAACGACTTAAAATGGCTAACAGACGTAAGGTGGGTTGTGAAAAGGACAAGAAAACCTCCCGGTTCAGTGATTTTCAGTAGATAAAAGGGATGCAGTGTTTTTACTACGTACGTGAAAGGGGTACCATTTGTCAATGGAAGGTACATAAAAGGGGTACATTTTCTGTCAAAAATGGTATATAAAAGGTAGATGAGTCATACCTCGGGGTGGAGCCTCCCACATTACTCCCCTGCGTGGCCTGTACTGAGTCTACCCCTCTTAACTGAAAAGTCGTACACTAGATCTTATTCTCTAACTGAAGTCTTTGGAGCTCGGAATTGACTTATTGAAAGGGCTACAAGCTAATATAGTAAACTACGCAGATTCAATGAGGACTGAACAGAGAGGCCTGTATGGTAAAGCTTTGATTACGGCAGCTGTTTCATGGGTCAGTAATTTCTTGAAAACTTTCTTTTTAAAAATTACAAAGTAGAACAAATATAACCAGTGCTTACAGACAATTGCTGAAGAAATTCTTTAGAGAATGTCTGTATGCCAAGAAATGAGCCTGTACGACATCTGATGCACCCAACTGCAAATAAAAAGAGATATTGCGATTTAATAACTAGCAAGAGTTTCACATTGCAGAAAAAATTCCGGATAAGGGATAGTTGTTCGTTCCTGGGAATCTTCCCACCTACCACATGAACACTTACTTCTCAGTTAGGGCAAAATGTTGTCATAGGGGAGGGGTAGGTGGGCAGAATCCCAGAAACGTATAATGATCCGAAATTCCTTGTTACTTCAGCGATTTCGGCTGAATCGATGCCCTCACCCCCCAGTTTTCGAGTGCCTTCGTTGCCTTTCTGAATTCCAAAGTCATTCCTTTTGCTTTATTTGTTATTCTTGCCAGTTTTGCGACTTTTGGTGGCAAGTTTCTGCCAAGATTTCTTCTCAATTTTTTCTATTCTAAAATTGCGATGAAAATTTGGTAAAAAATTTTTGCCCAAAGCTTGCAATCCTGGACATAAGTGAATAAAAATTGTCTCGCAATTCCCAGAAGAAAAGTAAACCAAATATAGAAAAAAGACTAGAAAGCCTCGAAGTCATGTTAGACTTTTAATATATCGAAAGTAGGCCATTGCTTCAAAACTCGTAAATAGTTGATGAAAAAATACAAAAGAAATTGTATATATATGAAAGTGACTAAACTTTACGTCCAATTTTCGTGGCCAAAGTTACCCTTAAGAATCAACAGCTCTACATTAGAACTTTTTCAAGTCCTTCCATAAAGTCACAGCTCACACATTCTAAAACAAGAGGTGGCAATCAGGAAAACTTTAAAAAGTAACGCCCGCATGAATTTCTTAAGTGTATCTCAATTTACGACATAATAGAGATGGTAACGTTTGGGCTGAAATTAAACTGAAGTTAAAATTCCATGACCTTGTCCAGCATCAGTTGCCTTGCCGTCATATCAGTTACAAACTTTCGTATCCTATTTGTATTCCAAGTCAGTTGGTTTTAGCTTACGGTTTAAAGTGGTTTATTAGTTGAAAACGTGTTACAAGATTTTCAGCTAACTGCTGAAATGAAGTGTATTCTTGCAAACCCAAACCCAGCAATGGCTAAATTACTTTCAAACCTCATCTTTGGGAACATCGCTAAAAACAAATTTTCCCGCTAGACAGCTGCTAGCAAGCTCTTCATTTATGACGAGCGAAGCGAGCCGCGAGAGAACGCGCGAGTGAGTGACGAAGCCGCGCGTCTCCTTTCACGTGCTGCTCTCGAGTGACTACTAGCGATTCCCCCAAATGGAGAGCTTGCTCACAGGCTACCCACTAGATAGAGCGCTAAAATCTTACCTCACGAGAGGAGAAAAAGGTTATAAGATCTTGAATCACAATGTTCTGTTGCATGACAAGATGCAGTTGATAAGCTGTGCTCCTCAGAAGCCGGTAAGCTTCTACAAGACAGGCCGTTTGTTCATCAGCATCCTCTCTAAAAAGATCCAACATCCCAAAGCACAGCATGTCAATGGGTAACACAGTAATACAACGGAGGTACTGGTGGTCTAGTGGTTATGATGATAAATATATCTATTACACACCAATTTATTACTATCCTAAGCTCTTTAGAATCTGAAAATATCACTTGTTTACAATATTTCAGTATACCATTACTCTAGGGAAACTATTGCTATTTCAGGGGCACCCAACGGCAATTTTCGGGAAAATATCTGTTCGGAAGACGATTTGAGAACTAGAAATTTCGGAACATTTGTTGTAAAATTTCTTGCTTGCCTGCCTCTCCTAGGATTTTCGAACATCTACAAAATGGTATAAGTACCCATTTTAAACGGATATTTACCCTAAAAAAGGCCACCTAGAATTTTCGGGAGCCTTTTCCTGGCTGAAATTTTCGAAAAGGTAAGTTTTGATCCCTCTAATTTTCGGATCACTGGACTTTCAGCTAGGAAATCCGAACAGATGAAAAGTTTTTAGGGGATAAAAATATGCCTATATCTACCGTTTAAATACTAAAATACGTTCAACAATGCTATGTTAAGTGGTTTTGAACTATATCCTCGTTGGGTGCCCCTGCTATTTAAAGTACCGGTAATAAAATATTATGTACACTTAACTTACTTGTTTAACAAGACCAAAAGAATGACATAATGGATCATTTTCATGAAATTCATCTTTTCTCCAAGTTCAAAGATTTGCTCTCTGAAGTGAGCTCTGTAAGTTAAATAATTATAAAGAAAATAAAGATAATTTTACTGATTGACTGTATTAAACTTGCACAATCTTAGAAAAATTATCACTTTCATGGCTGATGTTATCTACTGAATAGGATGGATTTCTTTTTACCATTTGAAGGAAAAACCCAATAATATTACTGGTATCGTAAACAAAGTGTGTAATAGTTTAGCATATGTATACATGCATCTGCCTTTTGGGCAATCAAGGGGGACTTTGATTTATTGCCGAAAAACGTGTTTTGCAACCTCGCTGACGTTCCCACGATTCTCTCTTACTCCTACCCCACCCTCCTTGCTCCATGGAAAAGTAGGAGATTGTAACTGTAAATAATTGTAAATTGTAAATATCTTACTGTCCCCTCAACTCAGGGTTTTTAAGGGATAACTTACAACACTGTTTAGCAACACTTTTGCCAGACTGCTTTTGGCGAGTTAACAAGTAATAAAGGAATGAGTGAGTAATGATGCCTCCGCTGTAAGTGTGAATTTGGGATAGACCACCACACTGGGGACTATGTCCCCTTATTTTTATGAACAGTTTCAGGGTTATTTAACACCCCTAGGAATTTATTATATGTGCAAGGGTTTTGATATGGGGCCTATGGTTTATACTACTTATCTCTTTTAGGGTTGCACGCAAAGAAATAGAAAAAAAATTTCAATTCGTTTTATTTACTATTCTATTTAATGTCTTTGCCATGAATAAAAGTCGCTGTATTTTTCATTTGTCTGTGTTTTAAAATGGTCTCTTTTAGGGGTCAAAAAAGGTTGGGCCACACCCAGATTGGTCTCCTTTAGGGTTTAATTCAAAATTTCCAATGAGCATCCCTGCCCCTTTCATATATGGGAGTTCCCCCGGGCTTTGAACCAGCAGCCTCCCACTCAGCAGACTGGCGCTTATCCAATTAAGCTAACCGGGTGGCAGTTAACAACCCTAGAAATGAGGTTGCTTGTTTCATTTTGCTGGGAAAGGTATATTAAAGAAGTGAAGCAAGAAGGGAATATGATGATGTACTTGTAAACTATGAAACATGCAGCTGTTATTTCTGGAAGTGGATTAGTTATATTATGCTTACCGTACAGAGTCCAAGATATCTTCACTGTAAGGACCTCTTGTGGAACTATCCATATCACCATGAGCTGTTGAGCCGGTCTGGTTTGATATCCTGCTGACTGTTCTTGGCTGTGGCTGCCTACTTGAAGTGTCCCTTTTTCGCCTTGACCTGCCTCCCCCTACAATAGATCACAAGTCAACACTGTAGATTCATTTTCAATGCCTTCAATGGGAATAGTTTGCCTAAACCATCATGTCAGCATGCATTGAGGAAGGGGAGTTACTAAACAACGCAGAGAATGGGGAAGAGATGCTTTGATTTTCTTGTGCCAAAGTCAACTTTGCTGCCAAAACTCACACATGCAGACTATTAAAATGTTCAAACAGAAATCCTTCGTTCAAATCTTATTTTCCTTTGATTTTGGGCAAGGTAATATAATGAATCAAGGGAAAAATTGAACCAAAGCATATACTTAATGGTTGTAATAAAGACTCAAAGGCAGTATCATGCTTAATTGGCACAAGAACTCAGATTGGTCTGCAGGGTAAAATATTGTAATTTGCTATGATGTCTTCTCCTGGCCCAAAAAAAATTCTTGCAGTCTTAACTCACAGCTTAGACAGACAATAAAATGACTATCTTTTATTCTCACTTACTTGTAGCATTTGTAGGTGTCACTGAAATCTGTTGAGTTCCTAGTTCCAAGCTAGAAAACCAGGAGAAATACTCTTTGATATGGAAACGGCTAACAAATACTCCTTCATGGACACTTTGATAAGGAACTGAAGATCTACATGTTGACCTGTAACAAAAGAGTCCATAAACCTTGTTACACGAAATAAACCACTTGCATAATTATTTACTTATTAATAATATCATTACCGGTAGGCAACTTGAATTGAATTAAGGCAAGTAGGAAGAAAATATTTTCAGACAGGAAATGACAGTGAAGTACCTAAATGATCTGCAAGTTAAATACTTAAACCTGTAGGGCAACACATATCACTAGGAATATGTATTGCGAGGTAGGGAAACACATTTCACAAGGGATATGTGTTTCCAAGGTAGGGGATTACATATCACTAGTGATGTGTTTCCCTGGTAGGAGGAACACACATCACTAGGGATATGTGTTCCCCTACACATATCACTAGTGATATGTGTTCCTGGGTCACAATTACAGGCAAAGCAGGTCAGGCGTTCCTGTTGCTAACGAACTAATGAATTCATTCATAAAAAAAAAAATTATTTTGTTTGTTGATTCAATAATCCATTCATAAAATGAACAATCCAATATTCATATTCAGCCTTGATTCAATAATCGAAAGTTGATTCAATTACTGTTTTTTGAAAAACTACACTTTCCACAAATCGACCTCAGAATTTTGTTTTTTCTTTTCTTT